AAGGAATAAAGTGGACAGGAGTCATGTTGGTAATTTATTTCATTTTTTCTTTTTAATCCCATTTTCAATTTCTATATCAAAATTTACAAATATTCAAAACAATACCACATTTTATAGATGAATGTTCTCAAGAGGAAACAAAAAATGAATATAGCCACGTCACATGTGGCCACTGACCACATGGACTATCTATTGATTTTTTGGCGTAATTAGTTTTAGATTAAAGAACAGTATCATACAACTATGTGTACAATATGGTCAGAATCTTCATTAGTCTATCATGATACATGTAGCTTCTTCTGATAGAACAGAGTTATTTCCGTGATAGTAGAAGAGGTTTAAATTAATAGGGAATACTTTCAAAATAAGCAGAATTTCTTTATATCTTCTGGGCATTATTTCAACATACAGGTCCTGACAATTAACGAGAAACAGTTTGTCTTCTTTGATGTTTCCAACAGCCCATCAGGTATATTACATAAAATATGAATGTGAAGTAGTTTATTATTTATCAGGCTAACTGTAGTTGGTTTTACTATAGTATTTACACCTGCATGTGTAATTATACAGGTATGAAGGTATTCACTGAAGGTTGGAATATCATCATAATAGTCTATATGTAATGCCAACAGACATACAGAACCTTTATGTTTGGATCAACTGTAATCTCAACTCTAATATTTCCACGGTATTATAAATAACACTTGTGCTGTGATCTGATCAAATTCCAAAAATATGATTCATTTCACCTCAAAAACACTGTGGTCATCCTTTTGTTTGCAGAAATAGTGAGAGATTATCCTTACCATAATCGTATTAACCCTTTACAGATTGGATAAAATCACTACTAGTTACTATTATAATGTGCACCACAAACAAAATATAACAAATTTATGGTTGTCTGTTGTTTTTTTTGGAGAAGGGGGGGGTTTAATAGCACGAGTTGGTAAGAAAACTATATTACTAGGTGTCTGGTTTTTTTTGAGAGGCAGAGTTTTAAGAAAATTATATATGGTGTCTGTCTTTGAGAAGCAGAGTTTTTATAGCACTTCAGTAAGAAAACTGTATAACCATAGTTGTCTGTTTTTGAGTGAAAGCATGGCTTCTATTATATAGATCTTGTTATTGCTAGTTTATAGTGGATAATATAATCAAAAAGTCAGCTTCTGATAGAAGAAACATGTCAAAATGGGAACTTGTATTGGATATTACTGCAATCAAGAAATTAGCTTTTTGTAAGAATTCAAAATTCATAAAAGCTTGTGTAGTGAAATCCTACAGGTTCAAGTTTTGTTCAAATTCCTCTTAATAAAAATATTAGTAATAATGTAAAGGTAAAGAGAAAAGTGTGTTAGTACAATTAGTATTACAGTAAAATAACAGAAGTTGAGCTGTTTAGGCAATATAGATGAAAAGATATAGACTGATTGAAGCAAGCTAGTGTTTTATTTAATACGTCTAGCTTCACTGATTACAGATAGCCTCAGGTAGGCCTCAGGTACACAATTAAACCTCAAATCTAACTTTATATAAAGGTTTATTTGACATGCACCGAGTTAAATAAAATTCATCCTTGAAAGTAAAGTCAGTAATGTCCATTTAATGTGTCTAGCTCTGACATGTAATACAGGTGAATATGAAGATACAGACATAATTTAAGATGTGTGAAGATAGGTAAATAGCTTATATCGCTTTACAAAATATATGGTAGACATTTCTTAGGTTTTTTAAAAGATGCAGGGTACATTATTAATGGAGAATACATAAAGATTCAATTTAATATCGACTTTAGAAAATAGTTAATCCCTGTTATCATATTTACATGCGTGTGTAACTTTCTAGTAGTTAAAAAAGGACTTAAATTAATACAGATCACTGCACAGGAGAATTTAAAGATACACTCCCAAAAACAAGTCAGTTTAAAATATATTTCTACGGTATGTAGTTTTTTCCAATCAAAAAGTTTTGAGAGTGATTTGAAGCAAACTTTTTATAGATAAGTTAGTTTGAATATGTTTTTAGTCCAAATATATCACAGAAAAGTCACCAGTCATTCATACGGGACGAAAAACAGAGACCCAGTGTACACATTGGCGTATACATAAAAGAACCGTGAGAGTTGGAATATAAAATATGTGTAGGCTCTACATATATAGTGCCACTGTTTGGGCACATTTCCCTCATAGCACACTGCACAGTGTATTTCCTTTTTCATTATATGTGGGTGGAGCAGAAAAGTAGGACGTTAAATCCTGTTCCATTTCCTTTCATTGACAGACAATAAACTCAGTCCTGAATTATTCTCCCTTTAAACTTGTAAGTACATGCAAGTAAAGACACATTTAAGTCAATGGATTTATATAGAATTTATACAATAGGTATAGGTTGGGACATTTTTGAATAATATTACGTACCATTAATTTCAAAAATTCCGATGAATTGGGTTATGTTAATAAGTCTAGGTTCAGTGATTATTGATAAATATAAATACACTATAGGTATATTATGTATATATAACCTATCATATTACAATCTTAAAATGCGTAGTTAAAAACAATTTAGGACCTAAAAGGGCCATAAAACTTATCATTTTTTTTATCAATATTTTTTTTAAATTAACCAACCAAAGAATTGTTTGTAAAGGTAATTGTTTTGGAAGACTATGTTTTACGTCTTGGATATATTAAGTTTAGGACCAGGGATGACCAGATCTAATATAGAACAATAACTAATTTGATTGTGAATATATCAACAACTAATTTGATTGTGAATATATCAACAACTAATTTGATTGTGAATATATCAACAACTAATTTGATTGTGAATATATCATCGGGGTAAATAATGTTTTTTGTAATTACGTTATAAGGCACTTTATGTTGGCCATCCCTGTATGAATACCTTAGATGATTTTAGGACCTTTAGTAGATCTTTCAAAATTAATTTTCCAATATGCTTAAAAGAGTCACAGGATCATTTATTAGTGAGACATTGAAATTATTTTGACCTAATATTTGGACTCAGTAATAGTATGATGGTTATAGTCTGTACAGTATGTCATAGAATTTTATATCTGCATCTAAACAGTCACATACCATTTCAAAGCTAATTATATTCCACTATTTTTTCTACAAAACATTAACATACTGTATCTTAAAGAGCCACAGAATCATTAACAAATCACACAGAAATTATTTTGGTAAAAGTTTGGACTCTATAATTGTATGTCAGACTGTATACTGTGTCATAGAATGTTGTATCTTTTATCTGTGTATATATATATACAGGTGTTGCCTAAGGTATATCTACCTATAATCTATCTATATAGCCTGAAAACACCTGTCATAGTATGATATATTACATATGTGGTCAACTGTATAACATTATATATACCCCTATACACTTTAATACCTACTGCATTTATATCTACATAAAACTTGTCACCATCAAAGGGGTCACCTTTATCATTGTCGATCAGTATTCAACAGGTATTTCTCTCTTTAAGGTTTCAATAATTCATATTTTTAACAGACAGTGTATGGATTGATTATATTAGTATATATTTAATAAGTTAAATTGTTTGTATATTGGATGTAGCCTAGTTGAAAGTTGTAATACTGTTACTAATGAAGTAAAAAGATAATGGTTCATATATTGGATGTACCTGAAAGTCGTGATATTGTTATTAATGGTTCATGGTTATAAACTCACACACATTAATGTTTGAAAACTCAAACAGTTCATATACTGGATGTACCTGAAAGTCTCAATACTGTTATTAATGGAGTTACCATAAACCATATTGGATTATATAAACAAACTTTTTGAATCCTAGAAACTCGATTATTTGACAAACATTAACGTTTGAAAACTCAAATTCTTAAATTTGTTGGCAACCAAAATAATATTTGTTTACAGTAAGTGACGTTCTCAAGAGATTAACGATGAGATTTGTTAAAGAAAATTATTGTACAGGAGCCAAAACTGTTATATTTCTAAAATCCTAGTTACATGTATATATATTCAACAATTAGTAGGATTAAAAGCTGATTTATGACTACAAATTATTCTGGCTTGAATAGATATATTGTCGCTTTAATACTTGCTTTTGTTTATAAAATGATCAATATCTTGGAACTAAAAAGCCTGTAGTTATATACTGGTAGTTAAAAAGGTAGATTGATTATGTATTGTGTTTTCAACAACAGTATTCATGTATGTACAGTGTTATATACATATCTGTTAGATACAAAGGTGTGGTATACAAGTCTACTATATACTATATAGGTATTTACATTGTACAAGTCTTGGTGTGATATACGCGTCCACAGATATACACAGTACAAAAGTCTAGGTGTGATATACAGGTCTACTAATAAACATTTACACATTGTACAAAAGTCTAGCTGTGAATCTATATATACAAACAAGTCTGCTCTACATTTACATTGTACAAGAGTCTATAGAACAACTAGTAGTAGTTGGTGTGATGTACATCAGTTCTCTAAGGTCTTGATGATAAATTATGTAGCCACTTGCGAAATGGATTGTTTTAATATTTCAGACTTAAAAATTTGGAGCTAAACGCTTCTGAGAAAAGCAACAAGTACTTTTCGTTTTGAAATTATCTTTTTCAAGGTGAAAATAAGCTAACATTATAGTTGTTCTCGAAAATCAAAAATACTAATTTATGTGGCAGAATACACTTAAAAGTATGATGGTTGCATCAAGGACCAAGTCACTTGTCCTATTGTACTACTCTAGCAAGCTGATGGAAAAATCATTTTTCAGTTGGTTATTTTGGAACTTTGTGATTTTATGTAATTGTTGCTTGATAAAGACTAGAGAATCCTAGTTGAAATGTTTGTCAGTAATTGTATTCCATAGTCTTGTGTAGTGTGTAATTATATACATGAATGTCTCAATTGGGTTCATTTGGGAAATGATTTTCGTCTGTTATCTTGAATTACTTTTAATATCTACAATTTGTCTTATTTCAGATTTATTGTTGAAGAGGTGAAGTCTAACCAATGAGAGAAGCCCTTACATCATGTGATATCGATTTATTTTCTTAATCAAATGTGGATATTTATCATCAAGAGTTTATAAAGTGAAATTGCGAGAATGTATTGTGTCAAAATGTCCAATAAGCGATTTTGGATCATAGCAGTATTAGTTCTATCAACAATAACGTTAACCCACGGTCAAGGTCGTTGTGAGACTATCTACAACAGTGGTCATGCAATCGCGAACTGTTCAAATCGCGGGTTTGATTACATCCCATGGGATTTACATCATGACATACGAACCCTCGATCTCAGTGACAACAATATATCACAACTACGTCCTAACTCGTTCGATAAATATGTCAACATAGAAAAACTTTTTCTGCGAGGAAATCAACTGAAGTCAATCCAACCTTCGGCATTGAACAATCTTCATCGTTTAAAAGTTTTGGACTTGTCTCGGAATCAATTCAGTTCTGTCCCGACTAAAGCACTGGCAGATGTCCCAAACTTAAACAGTCTGTCTATGAGTGCTAATCGCCTAAATGGATTAGACAAGAATGCTTTTCAAGGACTACCATTTCTTCGTGATCTGAATCTCGCTGGCAATCATATCAATGTGATTTCTCCGTACGCTTTCTCTGGTTTGGATCTGTTGGAGACATTAGAACTACAGGACAATGCTCTTCAAAGTTTAACATATGAAGCCGTGGGTGAATTTGGTTACAGGTTAAAAACAATTCGCTTGTATAACAACCCTTGGTTCTGTGACTGTCATCTTCAGTGGCTTAAGAAGTGGTTAAACAATGGAACATTACTTCACGGACTCGAATGGAACTTTCCTGGTTTAGAAACACAATGTGCCGGACCCTCTTTAATACAGAAGAAACCACTAAGTCGTGTCCCCCTGGAAGAATTTGCTTGTCCCATAGAGATGTATACTAGTGGTTCTCGCGTGATTCTAAAACCTGGCGATTCCACAGCTTTGTACTGTAAATATTTTTCCATCACAGAAAGTTCCGTCATATGGTTTAAAAATAATCAACAAATCACTAAAGATTTCCGAACAGACAAATACAGAATTGTTGAATCGGGAAATTCTGTGAAACAAAGCGTGCTCAACATCCACGACTTTCAAAAAGAAGATGAAGCAGAGTATCGATGTCTTGCCGAGAACATCCGAGGAACAGATTACATCACATTTGATGTGACTTTTGAAGTTCCCAAGACAACCTCTCCAAAAGAGTTGGCTACCTCCCCACTTACAAGTCATAATAACAAGAAAATTATTATTGCCATGTCAACCATAGCCGCCTTTATTGTTCTAATTATTGTAGTGTGTCTAGTTATTCGTTCTGTCCTTAGAATACGAAAACGCCAAGAACAGAAACGGGATGAAATTCGACTTCAGTTGAAACACCACGAGCTGGAAACCACAAATAAAGATAAATCACATGAGAGACTGGAGGGTGAAGAGAGTTCAAATGATGAAACCATGACCAAATTCAGACCGGAAGACAGAGACTCCATTCATTCAGATAACTCATTCTCACATATCTACGCTCCGACACAAGCGAATGGGAACACTTATATTTCGTTTAGCAGTGAGTTGACAGAACCAGATGATATAAGTCAGATCTACTCGGCAATTCGCAACCCCCCTCCTCCACCAGGATCACACACCGAATCAACCACTCCTCTTTTGGACTACTATTCTCCGTCACAGTATGAATCGGATGAACCCATCTATGACACTAGAGCGTATTCGGTAGCTAGTGTCAACGTACCACATCGAACAAATTATTACATCGCCCAAAGTTACAGTCCTCGTACACCAGGAAGCGTCCGCTCCAATAATATCTACCCAGATCATGACAACAGCTTAAATAATAATTACCATGATGAACCAGACTATAGTGACATCAGAGACTACAGTAGACCAGATTATCTAGACTATAGTGATTATCAGGATGTGTATAAGTTTCCCTGTAGTCCTGCACCAGATGGTAAAAATCTAAACAATAAAAAAAGTGCTTCGGTTGGTCATTTAGGACCCATGGGTCCACGTAAACCTCCGAGATCATTCCACACGCATCGTCCACGGGGGACGACAAGTGAGATAGGAGGAGTGAACTATTCAGTGCGACCTCATGTCGCTAATGGTGATTTAATCGTGAAATCTAACTATATGTATCGACCACCCGGAGTGGCCAATAGTGAAATTATGGGACCAACATATTCGCAGCCAATGCGGCAGTTCGGTATGCCTGCAGGTCAAAACTATGGTGCTAATTATAATAAAAGGCCTGCAATGCAAAACAGTGACTCAATTAAAAATGGACGTCCTCAGATAATCGCTTCTAATTTATCAAAGGCTCCACGATCTGTGAATAGTGACACATTAGGCTCATCTGCCTCTCAAAGATCGGCGGGAAGTTCTGTGAATTCTCTGGATCTGTTCCCAACACCAATTTCTCTACGAAATAAAGCAGGCAGTGGACCAAGCACGCCTACATCTCCGCAGCGGTCTCATAACTCAAGTATTGGATCTCCAGGCTCATTTAAAGACTTACCACCAGGTACTCCTGTATAGGTACATATGTAACAGCATCATCAGAGTTGACTCCCTTGCCATAAAGGATTACCTCCCTTGATAATGACTTATTTCATTTCACTGTGTTACACTATTAAAGTATTGTTAAAACTTTTGTGAATAGTGGACCAAAGTATTACACAAAGAAGTACTAAAAAGACAGACTTCAGTTTTTATTTTCATCAAAAAATATAATAAATGTTTCTGTATATATTATATATATATTACTTATCTTTTACCAATTACATGTACCATTGATCTATGTTACATGGAGAAATGTTTTTGCATTGGACACACTCTGCCCCTCGATTAATCAACAGATATATATTTCAGCTTGTTGTTATTCTCGGGGGAGTGACATTCTTCGAAAAAGTCTATGGCTCTGTCAATTCAATTCCAATTGACATGAAACTTAGCATGTTTGTTCCTTCAACAATTGGACATCAATCGACAGACTTTGATTTTTTATATTGTGTCATGATTCCCAGATGACGGCGATGGTGTCAGGCTTGGTTCCTAGTACTATCTATCAATAATGACATTTGTTACCAGTATGGAAAGCTATTATATTTATTAACACATGTAATTTCTTTTTGTAACAATTTTTTAGTAAATCTTTAACAATAATTCTCTTGGCATTGTATTAATTAATGACATGGTTGTGATTTCAAATACCGCATATTGTAAAATTTACTTGTACATTAAACTCTTATGTGCATAAGAGTGTAAATTATCAGATTTTTATCTGTTTTACGAGATTCGCAACAATTTTACATCACAATACTCCCAATTTATAAACACTAGTCCTGACAAACTGACAATTATACTGATCCACCAAAAACTTATTTTTTGGGTGTATTCTTACCTTTAAAACACAGTTTAGGAAAAAAAAGTAGTATTTTTGTGTATATTGCTTTACTACTTTATAAACACAATTTGAGGAAAAAATATGAAATGAGCTGGCCCTGACATTGTTAAATTGTATTTTAATCAAACTCAAAGTAAAGTGAAGTATATCAATCAAGAAACGATTTTCTAGTCCCGAATTCTCAATCAACGATATTCAACTGACAACAAAATGAACCACATATTTAAAACGTTATACAATATTTTAATTTTGTAAATTTTACATTCAATATTAGTCATATATTTTTAATGAGATTTTAATTATCGAGACACAATGATGTATCAATTTACATTTGACATGACCATATCGTCAAAGAAATACGAAACTGCATATCAAATGCAACAGTTTCTGTTCATGACAAAGAGCATCGAGGAGCAAATATATCAATTTACATTTGACGTGACAAAATCGTCAAATTAAATGCTGTAATCTTAAGCAGGGTTTACACTGTTAGACTATTTGTCAGGCATGTGGAAAGTTGGTCCATCTTGATACTACCTTGACATGCAATGCATGTCAGAAGTTCTAATAATGGACTGAGCTTGACTGACAGACTTGACGACTTTGCAAATATAAAGATAAAATTTAATTCGCAGACTGACTTGCCGCACTGTGGGCAAGCTTGAAAATGAGGCACCTGTTATTATGTCTGCCACAGATTTGCCTTTTATAAGTATTTTAATGATATTTACAATAAATGTCTGACGCATAAAGGCGCATAACAATTTGTCAGGTACATCTAAAATAATTATATCCAGACTTGACTGTGTAAACCTGGCTTTACTATAAACTTTGTAAACAATTTTTACAGCACAACTTAACTTGTGATTTACAACATCCAATGATATTGTTAATTGAAATATATGTAAAAATTCAAGCTGTATTTAAAAAGCTACATAATGTCTTTGTTTTGTTTATAATTATTAAACATATTTTGTATTATAATTATTTATTTTTAGATCTAACTCTACATGTTTGTGTCATGTGAATTTGTTGTTTGTTTTTTTACTTGTGTAGAATGTTTGTTAATATTCGATTGTTTGTTTGTTTATTTGTTTATTCAATGGAATAAAAACATGGATATAATAATTTAAAACCCCAGTGTTTGTTATTAATTGATGATGCAGTAGCATTGTATTGTCTGAAGCTGGGCTGAAAATGGGAACAAATGAATTGAAATGGGGTTTAATGTCTTTTCTGCTCCTACATTTGCAATGAGGGAAATTTTTCCCGGACAGCATCGCTACGACCTAATCTTACATAGAATTCCAACTACTAAGGATTCTTTTGTGTGCTCAAAACTTTGTTTGTTCGTCCCATCCAAACGACTATACGATATCACTTGCTAAACCCCTCTTTCCTGCAACACAGACAAGGGGGAACCATGTCAAAAAGTCCAGATGAACTTTTATGGCCAACACAAGGATCAAACACGGGACTTTCAAATGTGAACGAACTAGATACAAACATCCTGAAATTGAGCTACAGGTCCTGGATCATTAATACCCCTGGTCTAACCCATACCCTACATGAAAACAGTGTGAGAGAGAGAGAGAAATGGGGTTTAACATCCACTCCACACAAACTATGTCATATTGGGACTAATATATGGTATGGGGTCTTAAGCAGTGGGAGGAAACCTGAAGACCTGAAGAAAACCCACGAATTTGGACAGACAAGCCTACACCTTGTCCCTTGTCACGCACAACCGGAGAATCGAAACACGCCAGAGAGAGAGAGAGAGATCTAACAATCACTCAATACAAACTAGGTCATTTTGGGACTAACAGATAGTCACATTTCATTTCTATAATTCGCTTGAACATAGGGATCTGTATAGAAATGGGAGGAAACCAGAATGGACAAGGAAGATCATAGCAGTTAGTGAACTTATTTACAGTGTCTTGTGAAATGTGAGACTGCCCCTAGAATATTTTGTCGAGACCTGGGACTGGATGTCACTCAGGTCATTGATTATTAAAGGAAAGGTAAGAATGGGGACTGATCTGTACTAATATTAACATACAACTAAGAAGCTGATTTTATTTAAATGAAGAAATAACTCTCAATCCTACATCAAATCAGGTACTATGGTTGGAAGGGAGGAAACTCCATTTTTATGGTGAAATAAGTATAAATGTGCACATTATTTCATTCCAGTTAAAGTATAAACTTGCACCATATTTCATTCTACTTGATGATAAACTAACATAAAACACATATTTCCCTACTTTCAAATCATCTTAGTTTTTATCTTGTTTGAAAAAGAAAAAACCTAAAATTTAGCAGAAACAGACATTTTTGACAACAGACAGTGCTGTCAGGGCAAAATTTTTCTCACAGCACACAGCATAGCATATTCCGTCTTGATTTGCAGAAAGGTATGACGTTAAACCTCATGTTATGGTTGCAATCAATGGTTATGTCGAGGAAATATATTTTTAATTTTTCTTTTAAATTTTTCCATCTCAATGTTATGTCAAATGTATCTTTCTCAGATGCCCATGTTCTCCTTATTGATATCTAACAAAGTACTGCACCTTGTTCAAGGGAAACTACAACAATTTTTCAAAACTAGACAACTAGTACTAGCAATTTTTTTCCCTGATACTTGAATGTATTTCTTTAAGTGGTATTTGGCACATAAACAGTAACAAACTAACACTATTTATGGAATAACAATTACTGGTTTATTAACATGCAACGTTTCGACGACGATACTCTCGTCTTTATCAAGCAAATGATAAAGATGAGAGTATCATCGTTGAAACTTTGCATGTTAATAAACCAGTAATTGTTATTCCATAAATAGTGTTAGTGTAGTAAAAAAAAAACTGTTATAGGGCAAGAAAATAAAGGATTTAAGTTTAATGGAGATAATTACTAGGCTTACAACACCAGACTAAAAGATCAAAGGGAGACAACTCTCTTTTAGCCCTTCAGGAAAGTTGTACTCATCTGAATAGTCTTATTTTGATTTACTTATGTGCACCATAGACTTATCTAGGCATATGTCTGAGAAACATACAGTTGTTTGCTTTGTTTGTTTCATGTTTTGGGGAAGATTACATTTTCTCTGGGACTATGTGATTCTAACTGTTCTCTGTGATGTATTTATGTATTATCTCTTCCGTCTGTGTATTGATAGACAGATATCCTACATTGTCTAGTGTATGGTCAATGAGCTTTCACATGCAGCAAATGTTCGAGACACTAGAAATTACTTGAAATAAATCTGACTTACCTTTTGAAGAATATGATCAAAATTTATTCCCAGTTCTGAAATGAATAACAGAAATAAGAAAATTATTTGGACTAATTATATAAAAGCCTGGAAAGCTCTTAGAAACCTTTATTTTAGTCCTAAGCAACTATCTGAAGCTCTGTAATACATTTTCATCGAAATACCAAATTCCAATGGTCAGGTAGGACTAGAAACAAGCTTCCAGTTTGTTTTTTGTGTGTTTTCCAGCAATAAGAGAACATGCAGGTTTTTACTGTGTTTTAATGATCTCTTTGCCAAGTTTACAAACACTTAACAGTATATTGAATAGTTGCATTGATGATCTACAAAAGTAGGTGACTACATAACTTTGGCTCTAACTTGGTCTTCTCCAACCTGTCCTTTTTGTCTTTTGTTTTTATTCCTTTAATAATTTCAAGTAAAGCTGAAGGTAAATTCTAAACATTTCATCATAAAATATAAAACCTAGACACTGGTTTCACCAGTTCAGTTGAGGTTACCTTTCCACAACATTAGGGAGCCAAATTTCAGTTCATCTTCTATTCTAACACTGTAGCAGAAAAGAAATTGAAATACCAAAAGCTTTCATACTATAATCACGTATAGTAAACAGAAAATCTTTAGCTTCCGAATTAAGAATTGTAACTCTCAGCCATGGTTGGGATCAAAACATGGACCTTCTGTTTAGTGAGCCAACAAATCCAAGATATTTTGAAAATTATGACAATCAATACCCTGAAATCGCATGAGATATCACATCCTACTTTTCTGCACAGACCAGGCGGGATAATTAACCTAAAAAGAACATATTATTTGTACCTTCCATCAGAGGTGGTTCATTTTCATAATCTTCTGGTCCACCAGGTGGAGCTGTGTAGACAGGTGCTGCTTGTGGTGTAAAGATTGATCCACTATATTGAGCACTGCCACTTGGTGGATATCCTTGATTATAGTCAAACTGACCAAATTGTCTGAAAATACACAAAATATTATTTTATTATTATTATTGAGATGTACTGATATTGTGCATCTTTCACCTCAAAATATTATTTTATTCCTATATTATTGAGATGCACTGGTATAGTAGTGCATCTTTCACCCCAAAAAGTGCCCAGATGCACCTTACCCAAAGAGTAGACAATGAATGAGCTGAAAATAACAACATAACAGAATAAAATACAAAGCAAAAAAAACTTAAAAAATTTAAAATATAACAATTATGATAAAATAATATTAGGTAAAAGCTCCAGTGAATAGATTTGTCTTTACGTCTGACTCAAAACAGAAACTCTACAAATTTGACACTAATAATGGTGGACATAATTAGTAATTTAGTTAGTGTTGATAAGTAAATGATGATGGACATTAAAAGAAATTTAATGTTGATTAGATCGGATCTATCAATAAGTAAAATTTTATTCCTGAATCTGAATGCATTAGATACAAACAATAATGCTGCAAACTCTTGATATAAATTCTGTAAACAAGTCAGTTTAATTACTAAATTAATTACTGTTTCTACCTCAAGTGGTTGAAAACTTCAAATTTTAACGAATCGGAGGCATCATAAGCACATAAAAATATTTGATGATTGAGACAAAACGTATAAACTTCCCTCAAGTGTGGATTCGTGAGGCATGATAATGCCTTTAAGTCTTATCAGTCAAACATTTTTTTGCAAATATCAATACCAATATTTATGACAAACCCTTTTAATAGTCTGAGGGTTGGAGTTTACTGGAAATATTCATTATTTTGTTCCTCTTATTTTCTTTTATTACATTTCATAGCAATAACTCTGATAATTACATTATCGATGAAGAATAACACCACTAGTGTTGATGTAAATGCCCTCTGCACAATGGCTCAGTGAGTAAGAAGTTGGCTCTCCAGCCTAGCAGTCCTGTGTTCGATAACAATACCAAGAAAGTTCATGGACATTTTCCGGTGTGGTTAATCCTTTGTCATTAGTGCAAGGCAGAAGGACTGGCAAGGGAAAATGTATAGTCATTCAAATAAAAAAAAAAAGAATTCCTGTTTACACATTAGCGTGCGCATAAAAGATCCCTTGGCAGTTGGAATTTGATATAAAAGTAGAGTGCATAGCACACTGTATGGTGTATGTCTGTCTTCATTAGCCTAGTCAAAGCAGAACATTAGGACATCAAAGTCAAACACCGTTTCATTTTCCACTGCCCTCAAGTGCTCTTATGGCTTGACAATGCCGACTTTTGGCTCTGGTCCAATGAAGAAGTTCAGGGAGTAAAAGTTAGCATCCTCAAGTGCTGTAAATTAAAATTTAATGACCAGTAGGGCAGTTCATATCAGATGAATAATGCAGCTGACTCTTCGTCAATACTGCCTGAGTTTCCTTACAGATCTAACATTCTATCAGTAGGACCACAAGGAGAGAGAGAGAAATGGGGTTTAATGTCCACTCGACACAAACTAGGTCATTTCATATGGTTCTGTTATATTTTCATAATTCGCTTGCGTGTAGGGGACTTTAGCAGTGGGAGGAAACTGAAGGACCCGGAGAAAACCCACGAGGTTAGACAGGCGACCCTACTCCTTGTCACGTAGAACCGGGGAATCAAAACCACGCCAGTTGACTCAATGACAGACTTTATGATACAGCGCGCACATGCTAACCATTCAGTCATCCAACCCCCCTGGACCACAAGGAAATTTGTATGAAAAATGATAGAAAAGATCAGTAACACTGATACTCATAAGGCACTGAAGCATCAGGAGATACAGGAGTTTCTTTTGTGATTAGCCATAGGTTTATTAACCTTAAAAATTTAAAAATGAGAATGAAGGCCTAATATGAAACTGATGGGTAAGATAACAAAATGTTATAAATATGCTGCTTTAAAGAAATGCTAAAAAAAAAATACAGAGTTTCTTACGGATCTTGTCCAAAGTTAGTTTGTCCCATTTCATATCCAGGAATTGGCTGATCATAACTAGCACTGTAAAATCCATCATTTTCTCCAAACTGTGCCATTTTTCTTAGTTTATTTCTGAAAGACCAAAATATCAATAAATATATTAGATTAACAGTAAAATATGATATGTGTGAATTATGGAGTGTTTAAAGGAGGCAAGTCGCTAACTCAATATCATCCACAGTCTTCGACATTGTAAACACGACTTTTCGTTCAATTTAAATCAACATTGACATGGTTCTCTTACCGTAAACAGATGGGCTTCTGATATCTAATAATAAAGACAAAATGAAAATTTAAAAATTGGCTCACGATTCGCGTGCCAGAATGCTTTCGAGCTCCATATGTAATGGAGCGACTCGATGAACGAGGCTAAACCTATCCCACAAGAAAAATATACTACCGGTGTAGACTTGAAGAACCAGACACCAAAGACTGCCATTCAATTTGGACTATTTGCGTATTTCGCCGAACATAACTGGTTAGAAATTACAGCAAAAACAGAAATTAAATGTAAATCAGTTGATATACATACATCAATACATCTTTACATAACAAGCTTTCTGGGGGGTTTGAGACATCTGACAAAAATTGACCTTATTGTGATATGCCATGCTTACCTGATGGATTTGTTATTGTGAAGAACTATGGACTTGTCATCATTAAAAATTGAAAACTTTAACAAGCTTTGCTCTCTACAGCCACCGTCAGTTAGATATTTCAGTCTATTGACTATCTAGGGCTACAGAGGTAAGTTATAAGTAACCTGATGTCATTGATTTTGTTACACCATACAAATCTTTTAGTATCAGTCTGTGTTTGCAAAGATGATAAACTTTAAAATTAACAATTGAAATTTGAATGTGCCTCGCCATCGGCTACAACAAGACCAATTAGTTTACATATGTAAAGACGACAATCCTCATATTGTCGAAAAATGATGAAATTATTATTTAGCAGTCGGGTGTGAGAATTATACATTCATCTGCCTGTCTGGGGTCCTGAGTGTGTGATCAACAAGGGGCATGATGACATCCCATCCAAAAAAACAAAAACAACAGACATTTCTATACAAAATCCATCCATGAACACCATAACAATGATATGTACGCATGTTTGGACATTGTGGTATCGTCTGAGAGAAATTTGGTGGTTAAAAAACCTCAGTATTCATTCAATATTACCTTTTTTACTAAAAGTCGTATAAAAAGTTCGTCTGTTTACGAAAACCTTCACGCTGGCACTAATCTACACATGCGTACTGAAACAACATTTTTACTTCCTTTTCCGGTCTAGCCTTCCAGCAGGTGTGAGCATTTAATAAAATAGAATGTTGTATCCTGTAAAATCGTCTGAATTTCTTAATCATCTGTATATTTTATACAATATTTAAATAAAGCAATCTTTAATCTTTGTTTTCAGTCATATCACTTTCTCCCAATCGATGTTAGACGTTAGTTTACAAGCTTATTTTGCTTTGTAGTACAACCAAACTCATTTTTGTTTACTGGAATTTATGGTCCCCTCACCCCTTTTTCTCAATTAATAATGTGAATTAGAAGATTTATTATCATATATTTAATAGATTTGAATGTGTATAAAAATAGAGGTAGATTAACGTGAAAATATTTCGCCTTTTCATAGTACAACGGGCCGCGAACACTTACTACACAAGTAAAGTACAAACGTTGTCGTTGATAAGCTAAGGGCCAGTAATAATAACTCATTATGGACGGACATTTGTAATGTACTAATGTTAGGCGAAAGTACCTAAGCAATAAGCATACAATAAGTCCCACGGCCACTGTCTCCAAGCCAAGCGGAAGCCTTTATTCAGATTCCATTTATAAGGTCCAGATATATTTAGTAAGATACTAGACTAGAACTTAGAAGCTATTTAAAAAGTGAAATTGCGACTTTCCAGTCAATTGCAGTGCTCAACCAGTCTTTTGACCAGCCGCCTGATTTAAAAGATAATAACTAGCAGTAAATGAGTTGAATTAAGGATCTTCTGAGCATGGTTTCAAAATGACTTTGGTCTTAGTTTGTGCCGAGTAAACACAAAATTCTCTCATTTTGTGGGGCACCCTACCAACACTCAATCTGTTTGATAAAATTTATACAAATTTTGTCAGGCCTTGTTGATTATTACTTGCTTTCCGTGTTTTCTTTCACTAAGACTTGGAAAACATTTCATTGCTCAGTTTATATACTGTTCTCCTACTTTGTAACAAGAAAAGTCTGATTTAGCTGAAGTTATTATTATCAAACCTGGAAATACGGCACAAATTCAGGCTTTGTCGAGTACTATTCCTTTGGTACCTGTCATTTTGTCTGCACAGATGTTTCTCTCTTGTTATGGGGGGGTGGATGGTCGAATGGTTAGCACGTGCGTGATGTATCATAAGGCCTGTCATTGAGTCAACTGGCGTGGTTTCGAATCCCCGGTTGTACGTGACAAGGAGTAGGGTCGCCTGTCCAACCTCGTGGGTTTTCTCCGGGTCCTCCGGTTTCCCCCCACCGCTAAAGACCCCTACGCGCAAGCGAATTATTGAAATAAAATTAAACCATATGTTAGTCCCGAAATGACCTAGTTTGTGTCGAGTGGACGTTAAACCCCATCCATCTCCATCTCATCTCTATCTTGTTATATTTTCATAAAATGATTATTTCCAGGCCTATACCTAAAAAAGTGTATGGGGGATAATTACAACTAAGTATTCTCAAATAAGTACCGGTAGACCACGAGAATGAAGAAAAAAACCTAGAATTGATTGGCCAATATGCTGTACACATCACTTCCACAAAGGAGATTAACTAGACAATTCATTATTAAATTGTTCTTGACCAATATTTCTTTACTATTTCAGGCAAAATGAAGATTGTCAGTTCTTCACAAAGTGTGACAATTCCCAAGGGAGGTAAGTTAAGTCATTTTAAATTTAAATTTAAATTTACTATTGTTCGTAGATGCAAAGAGCAGCTCTTTGGACATCAATCGATATGTAGTCGAGTGATCCGACTCATGCACTTTAGATCTTATGTCTGTCCTGAGTCAAATAGAATGGTTTTGATCCCAAGCTTGTAGCCTGCCCAATCGCTTGATTTTCTCTAGTTTTTCAGTTTCCTCCAATTGCTAAAGCAAATTATTGAAATAAAATTGGACCGTATATTAGTCCTAAATTAAGGCAGTTTGTGGATGTTTAAACCCCATTTCTCTCACTAATTGTGTTTGAAACTTTGTACACTGAATAATATTCTTTCTTTCTTTTACAGTGTCCATCGGTGTAAAATCACGTCGAGTAACTGTAAAGGGCCCAAGAGGAACCCTAGTAAAACACTTCCGTCATGCTGGTGTTAATATATACATGAAGGATCATCGTCACATGACGGTAGAGAAATTTTTTGGAACAACTAAAGAATTGGCTACTGTACGAACTATCTGCTCCCATGTATCAAACATGATCAAAGGTGTGACCCATGTAAGTTGAGAATTGATTTATATATTAAATTTATATGTAGAAAGATGTGAGTTTAGTTTTTTAAAAAGAATCATTTAAGAAAGAAATTGGTGGTGTATTATTGTTTGGTCATTTTGGTTACTGCCATTACATATTCAGTGTTTTATTAAACAGGCATTATTCAAGAGCTAAATCTGCCTATTGCAGGTCTTTCAGCCTGAAATGTTACATTAATTAGACATTTATTAACATAAGACCATAATCAACTCTCGATGCTGTCTGATGAATCCGATTTTCAACAGATTTGCTGTTCAACATCAGTTGATGATTATTCGTAAAAATGGATAATCAAGATTTTGTTTATTTGACTGAAATTCTCAGCATATTCACTTTACATTTTTTAACCATTATATTGAGCACTGTCATCTCTTTATCTAATCTTCCATATTGTCGCTTTATGTTTTCCCCCAAAGGAATTCCAAGAGTTGCACCTGCCTAACCATGTGGTTTTTGTCCAGACTCTCATGTTACTCCCACCGGTATCGATCTGCATGTGCAATCAAATTATTGAATTTAAAAATGTACGTTTGGTTAGAAATGAAATGATCTAATGTGGGTCTTGTGCATGTCAAACCCCATTTCTCTTTCCAAGAATTTGTATTTGAAAGGTTTCAATGATGACATCATACATGACGAGTCATATTTGTCAACTAGTGCATTCTGGGTAGTTATTATTCAGGGTGTGTCTAGATTTGGTGAATCTGATGTTTATGAGGCATTTGTCTGAGAAAATCTGCTAATAGTACTTCGATAGAGATATCATAGAAATGCAGGAAAATGTCCTCTTGCTGTAGCTAATTGTTGGGACTGTGGGAATCAAGTCGTTAGAATACTAGACTCCAAACAAGATTATCCTGGGTTAGATTCCTGGCGTTGTTGATTTTTTTCTTATCGGATTTTCTCTTGACGGGTGTTGTGTCTGGGTGTTTTTGTGACTAGGGTGTTCACAGGATTCATCTGTGAATACTTTGGAAACTTATTGGTTTCCTAGAGAAGATTCTCATCTCTGCAATTGACTGGCAACATTGTCCTTTCCTTTCCTACTAATTATGTCAATTGACGTCTTTTATTTTCATATTTTTCAGGGATTTTTATACAAGATGCGAGCTGTGTATGCTCATTTCCCCATCAATGTTGTTATTTTGGATGAGGGACATCGGGTAGAAGTACGCAACTTTTTGGGAGAGAAATACACAAGAGCTATTAACATGATGGATGGAGTTACAATTAGCTCATCTACAGCACAGAAAGATGAATATATTCTTCAAGGCAATGATATCGAGATGGTCTCACGATCAGGTACATCTATATAACATATAACTTGCATTAAAAAAAGTGAAGGGCTGCATTTAGCATAACTTTCACTGCAAAAAAACTCACAGTTGTTTCATTTTAAAAATACTTAGGTCGTGAAGGGCACTTTTTACAACCCCACCAACCACCCAAAAAAAAGTATGTGTCAAATAAAAAATGTCAATAGAATGAAAAAATTGCATGCAAAATAAATGCAAAGACATTTTCATGATTCTCATTCATTGAGACTTCGAAATGAAACAGAACTATTAAATCCCTCATTGGACTTTTTGATGTGGGCGATTTCATATAATGCTCTCTCTGTCAGATATTAAAGAATTACTGTAAGGCTCTATGCAGCTTGTCATTGAGGTAATCCAATCAATCCAAGAAAAACAGTTTGTGATCAGGCTTTATGCAGTACTTAAGTAGTTTCAATGATGACATCATACATGACGAGTCATATTTGTCAACTAGTGCATTCTGGGTAGTTATTATTCAGGATGTATTCAGATTTGGTGAATCTGATGTTTATGAGGCATTTGTCTGAGAAATTCTTATCGTATTTCATGTCTAACTGTGCGTTTTCCTGTCCACATGTACTGTCATTACCATAGTTTTACATTATCAATTGAGAAATATTTTAAAGAAAATTATACTTTTTTGACACTCTAGCTGTCCATCAATTACTCGCTTCAAATTCAAGGTTTGAACAAATACTCGTAGAGAGAGAAAGGGGGTTAACATCCACCCAACACAAACCAGTAGGAGGAAACCGGAGGACCCGGAGAAAACCCACGAGGTTGGACAGGCGACCCTACTCCTTGTCACATACAACCAGGGAATCGAAACCATGCCAGTTGACTCAATGACAGACCTTATGATGCAGTGCGCACGAGCCAACCATTTGGCCATCAAACCATCCCAAATACTTGTAGGTCTACATCGCAATATTGTAGAATATTAAAATGACTAAGGTCTGTTTTCAATGTACTTTTTTGTGTCATTTTTACCAGGGAAAGGGGTTGAATGCAAATGTAACGGGACAGTTTCCATGTAAACGGTGAAAATGCATACATGGAAAATGGGCTTAAATTGGATAATGAAAGAAAGTCTTGGTTTTAATTCAGGTTGAATAATTAATAATTCAAAATAGAAAATGAGTAATGAATATATTGAAAAGTTAGTCAAATTACTTTATTCAGAGCGAAGTTATGATAATGTTTTGATGTTTTGACAAGATAGTCTTGATTCTCAAATACCATTGCTACGATAAGGAACAATGTCTTTATTTTTCATTTTATTGTTTGAAGTATTTAATGGCAAGATTGTTCTAATCCATTCAATAGGTAATTAGGGCCTCCATGAAATTTATATAACATTTGAAGTTGGAAAGAAGACCTGCATTAGACAGATTTAGCTCTTACATGTACATAATACATCTTTTAATGTTAGTGATGTAAACATAGTTTAATTATTTCAATGATGACATCATACATGACGAGTCATATTCGTCAACTAGTGCATTCTGGATAGTTATTATTCAGGATGTGTCTAGAATTGGTGAATCTGATGTTTATGAGGCATTTGTCTGAGAAATTTTATTTTACTCTCAAAACTATATAATCCTTCTGATAGATTTGACCGACCAGACACCTTGCTCTTTTATATCCAGAGGATTTTAAATTTAATCATTAGAAAGATGTGTATTGAATTTTTTTTTAAGAGGGCACATTTCAAGAAAATTGTTTATTGTTTGACTAGTCACATTTACTTCTAGTGTTATATTATACTGATTCCACAATTCTGTCTGCCTAATCTTGTGGGTTCCTCTTACTAAAGACCCTAACACACAAGTGAATTATTGGTTTAAAATTGTACCATATTTCAGCCCGAGGATGTTACACCCCATTTCTCTCCTAGAATTGAAATATGAGATAGTAATGTATTTAAATGATTTCAATGATGACATCATACATGACGAGTCATATTCGTTAACTAGTGCATTCTGGGTAGTTATTACTCAGGATGTTTCTAGATTTGGTGAATCTGATGTTTATGAGGCATTTGTCTGAGAAATTTTATTCTACATGCAATTTTATGAAGTTCTTTTCGGTAGCTTTGGCCAACCAGAAATCGTGCTATTTTATACCCAACCTATTTGAAATTTGAGTATAATTGTGGACGAATTTGGGGGTACAGTTACTTTAATAATGGCAAACGATGCATTTCAATTGACTTCTAATGATTTCTTTATAAAAATTGGCTGAGAAATTTAATTGGGATTTTCCTGCGTGGTTTCCCCTTTGTCAATGGTGTCTCATGTACACGTAAAGATCCCTTGACAGTTGGAATTCGATACAAGCATAGACCTTAGCAATTTCCTTCATAGCACACTGTATGGCATACACCCATCTTCATTAGATCAATTGGAGTAGGACATTAAAGGTACTTTCCCAGAAAAGTATTTATCGGGTGGTTATTTCCAGTAAAAGTATGTCAAATTTGGTATATATGGAAAGTATAGACACCCAATCTTACTAGAAAAATACTGGATTACCCAAAAAATGCCCATGGGGCAAGCACTGGGCAAAATTGTCAGGGTATCACTAACTGGCAACTCTACTGTTATCTGCCAGCTTATTTTGAGGGAGCGGTGGTTATTTCTTGAGCAAATGGTTAGACGGTTTTGGGAACATTGAGGGGTGTCAACGTACAATAGGCGGAAAAAGAAGTTAAAAGAAATAATTAAGAATTTACTTAGGCCTCGATATGTATGGTAAATGTACAGTAATGGAACCTCCCCACAATGAAGCTAAGTTGACAGACATTGCGACTAACAACAGCTTACTTATAGCTATAGGTCAATCTGATTAAAACACAGATCCAATTTCGTTTCGTTTCGTTTTAATAGTTCAAAATTTCGATTTTACTTGTCTTTACTTCACTTGGATCTGGAAGCGTTGTTATTTAACTCGTGTTCCGCTTGAAATGAGGGGTCAGCCAATCAAATGGTCTGTCGAATCGAGATTTTGACCTTTTATGTGCGGAACTGTGGGTAGACATTAGCGGCAATAGAAATCAAAACAAAGCGAAAGTAGATAAAAAAAAAAAAATACATGGCAGTCACTAATTGGTGACTGACGTAATCAGGTCAAATGTCGCTTGCTTGGTACCTGACGTCATAGAACGTGAACTCCCACTGTAACTTGTTAGATCTACATGTAGTGTAGGCCATCGAAAGTATAAAAAACAAAACGAAATATTATATAGATCTATATTTTAATTAGATTGAGCTATAGGTATCCCCGGCGAATACAAAGTTTCGAGATGGAATTGAAGCAAATTTTTGATAGATTGGTTACTTTGAATATGTTTTTAGTCCAAATATTTCATCAAGCCACAAAGTTTGCACGCGGGAATGTATCTTTAAAATCCATTTCATTTCTTTATAAAAATTTCAGAGTGATTTCCCTTGATTACTTTTTAAAAATTGTGTGGATGAGGATGCTACCATGTTATTAATCATCGAATTGATCTAAACTTCATGCATTTTGACAATTTCCAGTAGGTGGATCACCAAGCCTGAACATAAGGCACCTGTCACAGACTTTGTCAATTACAAATTATCACATAATGCATATAATACGAGTCTGGACATAAGGTACATGTCACAGACATTGTCAGAAACAAATTATCACACATCGTATGTATTCTAATATATAGGTTGTGTGATGATTTGTGCCCCACAAAGTTTATAACAGGTACCATAAGTTCAGGCTTGTGGGGCTCATCCGTTAGTGTCTTGTAAATAAATGTCTTAAAAAGAATCACAAAGTGACATCCTTCATAGACTGCTTGAACAACTTAGCTTCTGTGATTGTATGTTTTGTTGCCTGTCAACCCCAATACTTTACTTTGTTTAAGAAATATCCTTTGATATCATATTATATTTAACTCTTTATTTTTACTTTCAGCTGCTCTCATCCAACAGTCCACATCAGTTAAAGAAAAAGATATCCGTAAATTTTTGGACGGTATTTATGTTTCTGAAAAGACAACTGTTGTACCTATTGCAGCTGCAAATTAAAAAAAGAAAAATAGACAATATTTCATTTGAGTTTTTTTTATTTTTTCATTTATTTCTTGGTGCTGCACAACTGAGGCCTTGAAACATGTGAAGGTAAATAACAAACACTCTTGACTTGATCTGTGTGGGATTTTAAATAGGAATTGTGTTATCTTTCACTGTTCTGTCAGTTCTGATTCATGCAGAATAAGATTGAATGAAAATGAAATGTGGTTTAGCATTCTACGTTTCTGCACCAACTGGGCTATACCATTCAGTGTGCTAAGAATTAAATTTTCAAAGACAGCAGCACTACCAATTGTCAAATATTCTTTTTTGTGCATCCCAATCTTTACAAGGGACCTCAATTTTTCGTCCATCTTAACAACTAGACGCTTCTGTTTGCCTGACTCTCCGTCTGCACCTCAAAGGGAAACCTTGCTGGTAAATCAAAATGAACATTCTTGGCCGAGACCAGGGACCTAATTTAGTAAGCCTTCAAAATCTTGGAACTTTTTGCCTTCAGAACATCAAATTTATAGGGCTGAATTCTAAAACTCTAGTTTCACAAGCAGGAGATATATATATAGAAACATTAGCTGGTGATTGTTATGAATACATTGTGGGTTTGTGCAGCCGCTGTTGTTGGCAGAGAAATTTCATTCATAGCACACTCCTAAAACCAAGTAAGCTACCCCACGGTTCCCAAATAACCCTCATATGACACAAACTTTGTCAACTTATATAAAACCGCTTTCCAGCAAACAAGTATATAGCCAACACAATCTATGTTATACACGGGCTCCCACTGTTTATGTTCACCTGGTTGGTGCAGAAAAGTAGGGCGTTAAACTACATTTCATTCTATGTTACCCCAATAACCCTCATAATATGACACGAACTTTGTCAACTTATATAAAACTGCTTTCCAGTGAACAACTGTATAGGCAACACGATCTATGTTCTACCCGGGCTCTCACTGTTACTTTATGTTCACCTGGTTGGTGCAGAAAAGTAGGATATGAAAGTACATTTCATTTTATGTATCCGAATTGATACCCATACCTATTCCTACTTCTGCTGTGGCTGTAATTAGTCAACATTCTCTGCTGTAGTAGTATAGGGTCTAATCTGGCACCGTGGCAGGATAAACCGGCAGTGACGTATCTGAGGAACTTGCAAACAACTGTTACATGAAATTACAATTGCACCTTCCATGCTTTCACTGATCCAATGATCTAAGATGCTGCCAATCTCACGTAACATCCGAAGATACGCCACTGTAAACCCATACACCTCGCAGTGTTCCGTTCGATTAGACCTAATCCATCCGACATTACACTGCTGTAATGGAAGCAAATTTCTGTTCCAAATTATGACTGGTCAATAGTCCAACAACCAATAGCTAACTGCGCAACAATTTCATTAGGCTCCGAATTGGACCAACTACAACTATGTTTACATAATGTTACGTCATGACTCACGAAATTTACGCCCAATTAACCAGTGCATAGCAGAATATTGCAGAAAGACTAACTGCGTGACAAACGAGGCTATCAAAACGGATACAATATAAACATGACTGTTTGGGGGCGAACAATACTTTCACCGTTTTTAATACCTTAAATCACTGTCCAATGTTTCAGGGAAGACCCCAGGGCTGTCATTTCGTTGTACGTGGGATAGATTTGATTGAAGGGGAAGAATAGACACACTCCCTCAAAAGCTCAAGTATCAGAAGCCAATCCAGCAATGGCCAGAGAGGGATTTCTTGGGCCATTGCTTCAGGAATATGCTGTAAACCGGGCATGGATACTGTTAATTTTGGTAGACCTGGCAAACCTACATCTAGGCTAAAGTCGCTTTTCGTCATTTGGAATTTTCGGAAAACATCAAATGTCCACGGCCTTATCCACACTAAAATGAATTAAATGAGAACACAAAATCAGCGGTAGATACCCCCGGTCATAACGCCTGCAGTGGATGCTAAATGTTGACACATTTCCAATTCATATCTTTTGTAATGTTTGTAGCCTACTGATATTCATTTTTAGAGATTCAACTTCTACAATATTGTAATTTGCAAGGAATATTCCAATCTGTTTCACAGAGAAGTACGAGTCTAGTAATATATCTCTGTCAAAGATGACTGTCTTAACACGTGCCGTCACAGCACGCGGCGTCAATCATTGGATGAATGGCGCGTGCATTGTTTACATAAGACGTTACTGCTTCGGAGAGAATGCTGCATTTTAGTCATTTTAATACCCATTTACACTAAATAGGAAATAATTTTTACCTACAAATACGTCAAACGCCTTTATTTATTTTTCCAATACATAAAAAAAAATGTTTTAGAATTTAATTTGTCGCAGGAAAAAAGTTAATATTACTGGCTCATTAAGCCGCATCGATGTCATCCTTATCAGTGATTGTAGCGGCCTAGCAAATATTCACTGCGGATCAGTGTGGGAATATTCAGGGACTTTACATATACCTAAATTTGTCACTATATCCATGCCCGGAGCTGTATTTTCTGGAAAAGTCTTGTATAAGCACCAGATTTCTGTTCCATTATGTCATTCGGATAGGACCAAAAACGAGATCCCGTGTAGACATTGACGTGCACGTAAAATATCCCTTGGTAGCAAAATTTCTCACAAAGCACACTGTATGGCGTATGCCCGTCTTCATTAGCCCAGTCGGAGAAGAACAGCACGACGTTAAACCCCATTTCGTTTTATTTTTGTTCCGTTTTGACTACTACCAGTACCAAACAACCCCAAGACTAAAATAAATATCACCGGTGTCTTATCTAAAAATCCGTTTCATTTATATACTAATATCTAAGTGAAAGAATCAGTTGTTTCATTATTATTTAATCGACGGTCATTTATAAAGAAAAACAACTTAAAATGTAAAACAAAAGCCGTAAGTTTGAATGTAAAGTGTAGATGGATTGCTTGTGATAACAGGATATGCTAGTCGGTAGAAAAAGACATAAAATGTTACAAAAAATGAATGTTTATACAGTCTTGTCAAGATAGCAACGGAGAAACAAACGGGATGGTAACAACGATTTAAAAATCCTAATCGCATAACTTGCATCTTCTAAAAACAGTTTTTCTATACTGCTGGCATCTACAAACTAACCTACTTCAAGGACAGAGATGTGTATTTTCAAATTATATCATGGGTCTTTGACGATGAGAAAATTGTATTGAATGAGAATTTGGCCTACGTGTCGGGATATTCACAAGGTCTACTGATCTTCCTTTATTATAGACAATTTAAAGTTTATTTGCACGATTAAGTGTTAATGTGTAGTTACAAATGTATGGCAACTCAAATAATTCTTTCACACAGTTTAATAGTAATAAATAGCGGTTTATACCATTATTTCAGCCTTTAAAGATGTGACCTCGTCAACGTATTCCAGATAATAATTGGCCCAACTACATCTGTGATTAAAAGATATCTTCTACAGATGTAAATAATTTTATTAAACATCATGCCCGTTGTAAACTGGGCGTTAACTTATTATATAACACGACATTTTATAGGCAACCACGGTGGCCCTGTTATTTCATCTCGGGATGTTTTTTAAAAGATATCACAATAGGCCACGATTACGGTAGTGATTTGATTAAGACAAAAAGACCCACGAACCGAATGTCTCGGTGTGAAAGAAATGAAATGGAGTCAGCTCCAACCGAGCTATATAGCGCCAAACATAATTATGGTGACATGAGACCGGTTAAATTATATCACAAAACAAAAACCTTATACGCATATAAAACTAAATATCACAGGAGTTTTAAAATTAAAAAATAAATATAACTACTGTATGTACAGGCCCGTAGCTAGAGAGGGGGGGGGGCAAGAGGGGCACGTTGGTCCTTGGCTTCGTATTGCGTCCAATAAAAAGGGCGCCCATTAGGGTAACCGATTGTTTCCCCAATGAACAAAGGCATCATTAGGTGCGCCGATTGTCCATCTTCCCCCACACCACCCCCACTAGCTACGGGCCTGATGTATATAATTATTTAAACTAAGAAATAAAATGATATATCAAAATTAGACTCTATAATAAAAAAAACGTCTCTTTAAAAAAAAAAGGCTTGTGTCTTACAATACCGGCTTGGCAAACAATTGATGTTATGACCGGCAACTGCGTGGAAGAAGAAGTGCCTAGCCGCGTTCCCATCTGTAAGGCGTTTTGCCTAACAACAGCATTAGCGCAAATATCTTGAATTTGGATAAGGTTCTACTTTATGATTTGTTGCTGAATCAGCCCAGCAATGATGAAAATAATAATAAAAAAAACATTTAAAACTTACAAGGTTTCAACGACAGAGCCAATAGCTCTACCTAAAATTATCAGTGTTCAACTCTGAATTTCAGTAATTACGAATTGAACAGTTCGAATGGGGCATAAAACCGAGGTCCCGTGTACACATTGGCGTGCACGTAAAAGATTCATTGGTAGTTCGAATTCGATATAAGACTAGACCGTAGTGCCGCTGTTATGGCAAAATTTCCTCCATAGTACACTGGCGTATGCCCGTCTTCATTATCCCGGTCGGAGCAGAACAGTAGGATGTTAAAATCCATTTCATTTTACCATGGATCGTATATAATACTATGATTTTACGAATTGGGCGACCATGTATTTATAAAATTATTTCAAAGTATAAACAAAAAAGCACGTTCCTCATGACACAAGGGAATGCATCAACGATGATGCTACCATTTAGCAACTATGCGCCCAGTCAGCTTGGTATTGATGGCGCATCACACGACAAGTGAACTGCACAGGGAACATGACCATAAGGTGCTACTAAGTTTTTTTTTGGGTGAAATAGCTTTATTTAACAGTCCGCTTCCACCGAAGTGATATCGCAGACAATTACATGTTATATATACATAGTGATAATATTTACAATGTGATTAATAGATTAAAACGGATAATTAGGTTTTTTTTAGATATATATGTACAAACAATAGATAAAAGAACGAGACATGATATAACAAGTGCGGA